GCCACCTTCATGAGGTGTATGATAGCTATTTTCGAAAAGTTTATAGGGGATTTTATGGAAGTCTTTATGGATGATTTCTCTATCACAGGGAAATCATTTGACGAATGCCTAGGTAATCTGGAAAAAGTCCTCATAAGATGCGAGGAAACTCACCTAGCTCTTAGTTGGGAAAAATGCCAATTCTTAGTCAAAGAAGGGATAGTCTTAGGTCACAAGGTATCGAGCCGAGGGGTAGAGGTAGATCGTGCTAAGATCGAGACTATAGAGAAGTTACCACCACCAAATTCCGTAAAGGCCATCCGAAGTTTTCTAGGGCATGCAGGATTCTATAGAAGATTTATCAAAGACTTTGCTAAAATAGCAAAACCCCTAACTGCCCTATTAGAAAAAGGTATAGAGTTTGTCTTCACGGATGAATGTTTACAAGCGTTCAATACCTTGAAGGAAAATATAATCTCAGCCCCAGTTCTTATTGCCCCGGACTGGGCACTACCATTTGAACTAATGTGTGACGCTAGCGACCTAGTAGTAGGAGCAATCCTTGGACAAAGGAAGGAAAAGGTCTTTCACCCAATTTACTACGCTAGTAAAACCTTATCAGGAGCGCAGCTCAACTACACAACCACTAAGAAAGAATTCCTAGCAATTGTATACGCTTTGGAAAAATTCAGGCCTTACGTCATTCTTTCTCCAGTTGTCGTTTACACCGACCATGCGGCGTTGCGATACCTGTTGCAAAAGAATGATGCAAAGCCTCGGTTATTACGTTGGGTTTTGTTGTTGCAGGAATTCGATTTACAAATCAAGGATAGAAAGGGATCGGCAAATCAAGCTGCAGATCATCTATCCCGACTAGATGTGGAAGTAGCCGAGCAATTTGACAATTGTATCGTAAATGAGTCGTTTCCCTTTGAGAGGATCTATGTTATACAAGAAAAGGAGCCTTGGTATGCAGATATTGCCAATTATTTGGCAGGGAAGATCGAGCCTACCTTGTTGACACCGCACCTAAGCAAGAAGCTTAAGCGAGAAGCCCACTTCTATTTTTGGGACGACCCCTACCTTTTCCGGATTTGTGCGGACCATGTAGTTCGGCGATGCGTGACTGAAGCAGAAGGAAGGGAAATTTTAGCAGCCTGCCATAGTGGCCCGGTTGGTGGACACTTCTCAGGAGCAAGGACAGCAAGAAAAGTATTGGACTCAGGGTTCTTCTGGCCAACGCTTTTTAAGGATGCCAATCAGGTTGCTGCTTCTTGCGATCGCTGTCAAAGAACGGGCAATATATCCAAGAGAGATGAGATGCCACAACATTACATGCTACCATGTGAAGTGTTCGATGTATGGTGTATCGACTTTGTGGGGCCATTCCCGAGTTCTTATGGTAATAAATACATCCTCGTTGCCATCGATTACGTCTCCAAATGGGTTGAAGCCCAAGCTTGCAAAAGAGACGATGGCCGCACTGTAGTTCGCTTCTTGAAGAAACTGTTTTCAAGATTCGGAGTTCCAAGATTGATAATAAGTGACAGGGGTACCCACTTCCGAAATGATCCACTATCTAAGGCATTGGAACGCTATGGAGTTCAGCATAGAGGAGGAGTGGCGTACCATCCGCAGACTCAAGGGCAAGTGGAGATTGCAAACAGGGATTTAAAGCGAATCTTAGAGAAGACTGTTGCCAGAACGAGG